TAATGAAAAGGCTTCTAATCGAAAGAGACACATTTCTTTTTGTAATGTGCAAACGTCGGAAAATTCATTGATCAGTATTTGTTTTACTCCTGAACAATAGGGTACACCCCTTTTTCAAGTTTGATTATACTGATGCATGTTTTTTCATTATAATTTTCTATCCAACTTACTCTATAAGAGAGTATATCATTGCTGATTAAAACAATTGAAATACAAATCCTTGAAATTAACTTTTTTTTTACTACGTCCGCGGCTTCATAAAATAAGACGGTTTTTAATTTTGCAGGAATTTAAGGTTGAAAGAAAATTTTGAAAGAAAGAAAGAATATCGAAGACGAAACGGAAATCCAACGCCAGGGAAATACGTTGATTTCCTAGATACTTTTATTTGCTGTCATCCCTTTTCGGAATTAATTGCGAATGTGGAAAAAGAAATGACTCTGCCGGGAATCGAACAAAGGTCACTGGCTATTAGAACGCAAATTTCTTGACCACTGGACCAAGGAGACTGGCCAGAATATAAAAGGAATAAATATATTTACATTCATATTTCAAAATGATAAATGCGGGATATAATTTGATTTGTTTATTTCTGTTTGATTTTCTTTTTCTTTTGCATTTTTACAAATATATAACAAACAAAACATTGCAAATTTTGCACATTTCAAAAGAATATAATGTCGAATAAAGTAACTATTCGAAAACACTTGTACAGTAAAATGAACTCTTAACGATTGAAGAAATCAAATTAACACTTTACCGGCACAATCGTAGGAATATCATGATATAAAGGAGATATGATGGACATGAATGATATTACACAACATAATATGATCATGATCTAAATATGATATCTTTATGTTATTCTAAACATGTGATATCACCTGACTTAACATTGCACGAAATGATAACAAATATTTATTATAAGATACGATATCATGTGATGCAAGAATGTAATATTTTATATGAAAAGATGGGATATTAATATGACATAGGACTAATCATTATAATGATAATAATAATAATAATAATAGTTCAGTTCTTGTACAGCGCATACTGCGTTATGAAATAACATCTCTATGCGCTTCCAAAGAGCTTTGGACTTTATTACCCTAGCATTAGCTCCGGCAGCCTTATCAGCGCACAGTGCATTTCAAGGAATAATCTTACCAGGTACCCATTTACCTCACCTGGGTTGAGTGTGGCAAATGTAGATCAATGTCTTGCCAAAGGATATTAGTGCCGCGGTGGGAGCCGAACCGCGGACCTTGTGATCGACAATCCGGTGACGTATCCACTCGATGTGATACAATAATGATGTGACAACGTATTATTATGATAACAACAATATGTTATTACTATGAACATATTATGATATAGATAGATTATGATATCATATCATATTAAATATATATGCTCAGATATCAAATATATATATATGATGTAGTATATAGATATTATATGATATATAAGATAAGAAATAACATGATATAAAGGTCGAATTTTCGCCGTTTTTTTTTTTTTAAATATAAATCTTGTGTTATCCGGTTATGATCGTTATCTTATTTTCTGGTATCGTATCAGCTCGGGGAAAAAGAAAAGAAAAGAAAAATTTAAAAATGAGGGAGATGATGTTCATGATAGTGATGATGATATGATGATGATGGTGGTGTTGGTGGTGATGGTAGTAATGATAATGATAATTTACACCGTTTATATGGCGATACATTTCTAATTAAAGAACGTTCAAAAGCACAAACCCCTCCACTGAAGAGAGTATTTTTCACACTTGCCGATATAGATATATTTTGAGGCATTATTTGACATGTTCTAGATTGTAGTCTCACGAAGACAGAAAGGGATTGAGTCCCACAAAGACTGAGGAATGGATGAAAAGACACAGTCCCCATATCATCCCTTAATGCGTGGTGTGGGTATACATGGGTAGTGAGCCCAGAATTAGCGTGTAATGTCCTTTCCTATATACTTACTGCTATTGGCTGCACCTGTCAAACTGGAAAGAGAGTGGTTACGCCATTTGCGTTCTCCCTGCTCCTCGGATCCCTTGATCAGGGCGGCAAGGGAGGGGGAAAAGAGGGGGCCCAATTCGTGAGAAAATGTGAAAATCGCGCTGGCTGATATTTCGCCCAGTGGGAGGGGGGAGTAGTGAGCACTATTTTTTTGGTTTGAATCGACACCCTTCCCCCCCCCCTTTTTTTTTAATAAAAAAAGGTAAAATTAACCTGTTTATAGCTGTTTTTGGCCAGGGGAGGGGGCCGGGCTCCCCGCCCTACCCCCCTTTCCCCGGGATCCGCCACTGGTTGTTGTATTCAATGTTTATTGTAATTTTCTTCTGTTGGAAAAAGATATAAACAAATTGTGTTTGGATATGAAATTTCATGAAATTTTTATGAACAGAGCATCTTTTCCTGTGTATTTTTCACAAAGTTGTGGATCTCTTGGGCATATAATCATTTGCATATTATCTATGTTGACAGATTTCTACTCGTGCAAACACTCTCACTCCTCACATCCTTATGCAACAAACATGATGTCATGCGGGACATATATGTTTGTTGTGATATCTTCACTTTGTGGAACCTGGTGTTGTTTGCAAATAAAAAGCACAATATATAATCATTATTTTTGTTAATCTTTCATATTTAATTTCTATGTTTACAGCATTTGTAGGGTTCCATTTCATTTATTCACTTTTTACAAGCTGGCACGTTAGGGATGAATGATATATGCTGGCTGGAAGTTACGGAAATATGTTCGGGAAGAAGTGGATTTCAGCTTGCAATCATATTGTTGGTAGACCTCCGACCAGCCATTTCCCCCTCAGAGCGCCAAATTGATGAAAATGTCTGGAAGGAAATTGAGATATAACAGATCCCTAACGGTGTCACACACACAATAACTCTGAAATGAAAACATACTTGAGTCTATACGTGTTTTAATTAAGAACAATATTTTGAAAAGATCTTCCATCTAATTGACACAAAGCATCTATTTTTATTCATGCAAATGATTTTAGCAAGAAATCAAACTTCTTTGTCGTTTTACCCTAGAAGGACCCGTTGTCTTTATAAAAAAAAAACATTAATTGCTATTTACAAGAAAATAAAGATGTTTTGGGCCAATGTGAGAGGAGGCCATTTTATTTTCCATCAAACTAAGAGAGAAGCAAACTCAAAATTAACTTTCATTTGAGAATAACGACACACAAAATATGGGGTCCCTCTTGCAAGGCGTGTAGCCCCCCCCCCCCCCCAAAAAAAATGCACAGGAAGAACAAAAAAAGAAAAGGAAAAAAGAGGGAAAGAGAGATTTTTTGTCAGTAAAAGGAGAAAGGAAAACAAATGAAAAAGAATTAAACAACGAAAGAAGAGAGGTGCGAGAGCATAAAAAATTGCATATCTTTTAAAAGAATAATTGTGTGTGATTGTGTGCCCCCTTCCCCCCGGTAAGAAATTCCTGGATCCGCCACTGGCTATATAGTATGACGACTCAGAACGCTCAGAAAAAAGATCAGTTTCGGAGCTGTATTGCGCAAAGCATATGACGTCACTGCAGGAGCCTCTCCGGTGAAAAGGGGGTGATTTAGGCATTAAAATGTCTTTAAAAGGCAAACTATGATATTAATTGAAGAAAGAAAAAAAATTATCCGAAATATAATATGCACTTCATAATCCCAGTACGTTTCTGGAAATTTCGTCATTCCTAATTATGAAATTATCAAATAATCAAATCGGACATGCCCGCAATGACGTCAAATGCGTCATCAAGCAACGTGCCCGTATTACCTTTTTTCGAAAGGCCTAGCCCAGCAAGCGAGACATCTGTGAAAAATGGAAGGTTATTATCATTTTGGGGTCAGTTAAGAGACTTTCTGAAAAAATCAGAGGTTGGAATATTAATAAGTAGAGGTGTATTCATGGTTTAAAAGGCTATGTAAGTTGGGTTAGAGTGGCACTTGACTTGGAATTCAAAGGTCGTGGTTCGATCGCGGACACGGCACTAATGTCCTTTGCCAAGACATTAATCTTCATTTGCTACACTCGACCCAGGTGAGGTAAATGAGTACCTGGCGGGAATTAATTCCTTGAAATGCCGGAGCGCTGTAATGGCAACTTGGCTAAAGCCGGAGTTATAATAAATGCGCCTCGGAAAATTTCCAGATAGACGGCGCTATAAAAATGCCTATTATTATCATTATTATTATTAATTCAATTTTGTTCACTTGTATTGTGTTGCTGTTACTATTCTTAGCGTTTTGAAATTCACTTTTATCCATAAAGCCTCTTTAGCCACTTTTGTCCTAAATTTAGCTCATAGAGCCATAGACGTTTGTTGACCTTCAACATTGACGCACGCACGCATATGCAAGAATTGCCAAAAGTGGTTTTAGAGCCCCACTGTCCTACTTGTAGCTACTTGCTCCCTCTATATAGAAAACTTCCCCAATCGGTGCATGTTTGTCCCCCATGATCATCTTTTTCTTATGTAAGTTGAGAGCCGAGTTAATGAGATAACAACCTGTCAGTGACCTGGCTGTGTGGTCTAATCCCTTCTGGCCCAGTAGTGTTGACGGTCTTTAAAAAAGTAGATATTTTGAATTCGCTATATTTCTTCAGAATAGCAGGTTACCCCAATTTTTCTTTGTTCTGATAGGGTATGAATTGGAGATGCGATTTTGTGTTTCTCGTTTGCTGTTAAAATGCTTTGACGTCAACATAATGTGATTGGGCCAAACAGATTGTTTTGTTGATAAATTATGCCCCCCTCAAAGATTCTGTTAAATATAATTTTAAATCAGTAACATTCAGTAAAACACAATATTATGATTGAACTTACAAATCCTAAATCAGTTACTTATAATAGTATAGATGGCTAAAAATTGCATCTAAACATATACAACCCCTCCCCCTTGGGGAATGGAAGAGTCCTGGAAGCTTTAATGAGGAGAAACATAAGACCAGATTGCCGGTGATGCCATGTGTCAGTCCTCACGTTGACACCAATTTCACCACAAGCTACAGTTTCCTTCTCTTCATGTTATTATTCTAGGTAAGCTTATTCTCGTTTCTATTTTATATCCAGTTAAAAAGCTGTAGTTTTAATTGTTAATTTTAATGTCAAGTATCACCCTCTTGATATAGTATATTCCAATTCAGGAACGAATGGGCTTTCAGGAATGAGATATGTACACATCTTTGAGACTGTGAATGTCCAAAGAGTCGGACGAGTGTGTTGATGCTGATTTTTTTTTAGTGTTCAGATAGATATGTGGCGGGAATTTTGTTATTGAATAGTATAATTAATTGATGAGTTTTGCCAGTACATAATTAGTGTGTGCTATTTCAATGTTTGACTATAACACTTTAGAAGGTAATAATAGGTTATAATGATAGACAGTTGCATAGCTTGGGCTTTGTTATAAGGGGCGGGGATATATCAGTGTATAGTCTATAGATGGTCCAGTAGCGGCGAAGCGTCTTTTAACGTAAGCCTCAAAGCGGAAAAACATGATTTTTTTTAAAAAAACTAAGTTTATACCCCTACTACTTTATCAGGGATGACTTTAGAGATTTTCTGTTTAAGTGGTCCAAGACACTGCTTCAACTCCGCGCTTTGCAGTTGAGTGTGATGGTCTGAAGCGAGCGAAGCAAGCGAGCACTCACACACAAACATACACAAATTATGAGGTCGTATTGTGACCGATCATATCTTATTTACACATGACACATGCTAACCCTTCATATTCTTCGACACTGCCTTTCATTTGGTGGTAGATATAGAAAACATGTTATTACACCAAAAAGGTGTACTTTTCAAAGGGCAATTTATAATATTATTAGAAAAGGGGACATATCACAGTATAATAACGAACGGAACTTATCATATTAAAAGGGGGCATTTATCAGGGTCGTAAATGTGTTTTTAGTAAGGTAAAGGGACAATTATTAGAAAGAAGAAGGGACACCAATCAACAGGGCAAAAGCTACTTATTTAAAAAGAAAATGGGCACTTATCATACAAAAAATCAGAGATGAAAAGGGGCACCTTTGAAAAGAAGAAAAATACACTTACTACAAAGTAAAAGGACATTTTTAATAGTGCAAGGGCCACCTATCAGACAATTATCAGAGGCGGGTGAAAAGGGACTTTTATGACAAAGGAAAGGAGGGGGGGCGCTCATTAGGCAGAAAATTGAACATTTCCCCCAAAGTAAAATGGGCACTTTTGGGGTACTTGGAAAAAGCGAAGCTCGAGTTTTATTTCTCTCTTTCTTTAATATTTATTTTGATTCTCTCTCTCTCTCTTTCTTCTTCTTCTTTCATTCTTTCTTCCTTGCTTTCTTTTGTGTTGTTGTTCAATTCAATTAATTGAAACGCCCAGTAAAATCATACGTGGCATAGAGGGATTCAACTTATTTAGCACCCACACTTTTCTGGTGAACTATCGTAATGTTTACTTTTCATCCCCAAATGCGGAATCTCATAGCTCTAAAAACAAACAGAGACACGTCATCAACACGGAACAGGTTATGACATAAGGTAAAAGGAAAACATGCGATATCCTGGCCCCGCAAACGTCCTGATGATTTTGTTTCCTAAAGCAACAAGGAACTAATGACTAAAAACAAATTGTGTCACGGAACAAGTACATACATTCTCTCATGAAATAGAAAAGGTTTTATCGTTGATATTCCCTAGCGAATATAATCTTACCAGTAACGAGCAGCTAGGGCCCTGTTGGTATCATTTTTGTTTTTGGTCACTAAGGGAACTGAGGTTATAATGTAATGACCTGAGGAGCACAAGTGACGTCCGAAAATTCCAGGTCAAACGAAAACAGATCCAAAACACAAATTAATCAAACCAACAAACAATGGAGTCGATATGGGGGGGGGGTGGGCTGTGTAGTACCTTGAAAAACACCCCCTTCACCTCCGGCTCGCAGGCCCACGAGAAGAAGGGAAAGGTAGGACTCTGTGAGACTTCAGCTCTTAGGTCACTACACGACTTCAAGCCGCAGTTCTTTAGCACAAAAAAAGGGTAAATTGCTTAAACACATGAGTATATCGTTATTGCTAACGATATGGATATTAAACCAAGGTTGTTTTTTTACTTATATAGGCCTACTGTAACGGAGAATTATTGCCCTTCTGACTCACGTCATGGTCATGCAAGGAATCCACCCAAGGAAACCATGCCAGTCTGCACGCACAGACTCGGATTTTAGGGGACTTTCCCCATATTTTCACAAAATAGGCCTAGGCCAAGTACGAGATGGTATTTCCTCTTATTTTGATCTTTCGTGGTCTTTCTTTCCTCATCCGGAAACAGATGTCACCTCTAACGATCTAGGATCAACAGAGTGACTCACTGTTGATCCTAGATCGTCTGAGGTCAGAGTCTACAAAGTCCCAGAGAACTATTAAAAAGATATATTTATAAACGAGAGAGAGAAAGGGGGTGCTGGGTGGGGAGAGAGAAAGAGAGATAGAGGGGAAAGAGAAGGGGGAAGAGGGGAAAGGAAGAAAGAGAAATTGAGAGAGAGAGAGTGTGTGTGTGAGATAGAGAGAGAGAGAGATAGATAGAGGGTCACAGAGAGATATAAAGAGAGCGAAAAGGAGAAAGGAAATATCGCCTCTGACAAAGTCTACGTAGTCAGAACAAATTAATATTGTTCGTATTCCTCTAAATTAAATTTTATGATAATTCTGTTTATTTGGCATCATAAAAAATACGTAGTCACACAATATAAAATTAAATAGCGAAATAAATAGGTACCGGTATATACTTAGAAGAAGAAAAAAAAATCCCGACCATTGACTTTCAGGTATCACCCATATACATTAACAAGGGTAACACAAAAAAAGGAGAGTTCAGAATGAGAAAAAGAAGAAAGGGAAGAGGTGAGAAAGAGAAAGAGAAGAACGAGAAGAGGTGAGAATGAGGAAGATAAAAAAGGGTCTACTTAATAGTCAAGGATGACATTGTTCCAAAATTGTAACGTTTGGCAGGGGCGGATCTAGCTTCCTGTTAAGGGTGGGGGGGGGGGGGTTGACCCAGTGGCGGATCAAGCCCGAAATTCGAAAATCGCGCCGACCAATATTTCGCTCAGTTGGAGGGGGGGGGGGGGTAGTGAGCACTTGACAAAAAAAAAATTGCCCCCGACATTAAATTTTTTTTTTTAAATTCCTTTCTTTTGGTCCGCCCGATGGGGGGGGGGGGGTAAACGCCCTAACCCCCCCCCCCCGTAGATCCGCCCCTTTTTGGATAGCGTTACAAAACGAGATGGTGTGGAGCTGGATTTGACGTTATACATATTGAATTCCATTCATGTACTCATGTAAAACGGATGGAATGGGTTCTTATAGTTGAACGAGTAATTGGGACACAGTGATTATCCCGTCTACGAGTGTGATTCGTAAAGAATGACGAATTAGTTCGAAACATCTGATCGAAAAATATTGGGAGAATCCTTTTGTGATACTTAAACATGAAAACTGATATATCAAGTTTTACAAGTTCAAACACTGGGAGACAACTGGGAGAAATGGTGGAAGACTGGGAATACGGAAGTGACTCCTTTTTATCAGTCGTTTTGTGCGTTTTTGTAAAATATATAGTTTATCAATATATATTTCATATGTTTTGCCCCATATCTCATTACAATTATTGAGGTGTGGTAATATAACAGCATTATGGATACTGACCATTACTCTGATGGGTATAAATATCTGAGTTTGGATAAAACACCTTTACTTTTTGAAAGCTTTGAAGATATATTAGCAATATGCAGTCAAGTAACCCATGAATAAGATTGCCTAAGAAAAATAACGACTCAGTTCTCTCGATAAAAAGAATTTTCAATTCTAATCGGGTCAGTGTTTGATGGAATTATTTTTCCTTTTAGAATTGAATCATACATACTTTGTTTTCTTAAAATTAAATTATAGCTTGTTACATCTGAACCTGTCGTTTAAAGGTACTATGTCCCTTAATACTTATTTAGAACTTCCGTAAAAAAGGGGGGCTTGAAAATGTCTGTAAGTGGGAAAATAACGACTATTAGTTGTCGAATCGACTTAGGAGCTACAGAGCCAGTAAGCAATAGTCTGATTTTCAGACCATTGTACGGAATGGTCGTACGTTTTATGCTGCGCAAGATTCAATTAGTTTAATTTTGGCCATTACAAGAAATTGGTTATTAATGTAGCAAATGCTCATATACCTTTTACAGCTCATTTTATGTATGTTATTACCAAAGAAGAAAAAAAGCCAGTCAGTCACTCAAAAGTGCCTGACAGTGAATTCTAGCTACTAAACGGGTTTCCTTGCATAATTTGAATATTAGGACACTGCTTAATTTCACAGATAGGACATATCATAATTCCTGCAAAGTTCTACAGAATTTGATGTTGGCTGCAAAAGGGCATAGTATATTTAACATTTGTAATTAGGTGATCTGCCACTTAGAGTAGCAGAGCACCTATTGATTTCGTTAGAATCTATCTTTTTTTGCCCTATTTTTTCTGTATGGATCTTGTTTGCTTCATATCTCATCAATGGCATGGTTAATGACAATGAAATGTTCATGACATGTGCCATATGCGTGAAAATCGATCCAAACAAATGGATTTGTGAATGACTGATGCGTGACGTCATCTAGGCGCCATTTTGCTCATTTCTATTATTGCCCATATTTCCGTCATCCATTGTCATTTCTGCATAAACTTGACGTCATGGGTAAACTTTTGGTTTCCTAGTAGTTTCCTTCTCTCCGGAATAACTTATTCAATCCATCCTTGATCGTAGACATATCCCAAGATTGATTTTTTTTGCGAGGGTGTTAATTGCTCAGTAAATAAAAAATGTTCCAAATCTCCTTCCCCCAATAAGCACAGTCAGATAATGGCAAACAGAGTACTGGAACCCATTTTACAAAGCTTTTTTTTTCAATGACAAATTACAAAAATCAGTGACAAATTTGCTGATAACCAAGCAGAAGCAAGGATTTCACTTGCTTTTAACAAAAACTGTCATTAGTCACTGATGAAAAGTTTTGTGAAATGGGGCCCAGGAAGTGTTTTATAGCAGTCGGTGTACTTCATAATCTATATATATATAGGGTGTTTGAGTCACTCAGTATGTAAATACATCCTAGTGAATCCTGCTAATCTTCATATCATGTAAGCATATATTATTTTTATATTTACAATTAATTCTGGAATGTCTTTTGTCCTGTTGGAAATGTGAATAACTTAGCTGATATCTGTCAAGAATATATAAACTCACCAATAAATTCAGTTAAATTCAATTCTGTCCAATTCAACTTAACATTATTTCTTCCATTTCCTCTTCCTGAGTCACAAACAGACTCAAGTTTTTAATATAATGTATGCAATTCATGAATACATGTAAGTCATTTTGAAGAGCGTAATTAACACAAAGAAGAAGGCGTAGATCGATCCCTAGTTTGATTGGTATTTTCATTAATTCAAGTTAAATACAACAGAATCATTAAAAGTGAAACAAAAATGATACATTAATAACCAACAATAACAATATCTAGATCAAAGACATGGACATTATCATAGGTAGGTCCTACTTAAAATACAATCACGAACGTGTAATTTTATAGTTCATCCTTTATTTCTGTTATTATTTCTTGCTCTGATAGTATTTTGTAGAGGTGTCGACGACATAGATTACGTCATGATAATTTCGGTTCTAGGACACCTTCCCCCTGAACATCCACCCCCGGATAACCACCCCAGGAAACTACCCCCCCCCCCCCCTCCAGACAACTACCCACTATGACAACCGTCCTCTACGACAACTACCCCCGGACGACTGCCCTAGGAGCAGTTGTCCTAGGGGGTAGTTATCCTAGGGGGTAGTTGACTGTGGGTGATTATCCGGGGGGGGGGGTTGTCCAGGGGGTAGGTGTCCGGATACGGATAATTTCATCCTATAGTGGTATCAGGTATGTATGGCTCCTCCGGCATTTGCAACCAATTAGGCCTTTAAATAAAAGATGTTGTATTACCCTTTGCGACCGACCCGAAAATCTTGAAATCTACGGCCGGCTTTATAACAAAGCTTTTATTTTTTTTTACCGTTTTTCAGTAAAAATGTATTAAAGCATTCAAAACTGAGAGAAATATCATCCCAAAGAGGGAGAAGAAAAAGAAGATTTTTTTTTTTTTTTTTTTTTAATTTCCGACCGACCGACACATGTTTTGGCACTTAAATGGCGATACAACATCTTTTTTTCCGGCTTTATTATGAAAATCATAGTCATTTTATTCATCAGATGCTTCTCTGCTTTACTTCTCTCTATGATTTTTATTTTATTTTTCAGAAGAGGAATCGACGACGAAAGACGAAATAATTATGGAAGGTCATACTATTATCCCAACAACCATGGACATAAGCACTATCAGGAGTAGCGATACGGATCTCTTTGTGTTTGAAGATTACAACCAGCGCATTGCTATAGCCACTATCCTCTGTATCGTCTTCCTTGTGGGATCCATCGGCAACACACTCGTCATCGCCGCCGTAGTCCTATCCCGTAAACTCCGATCATCCACCAACTGGCTCGTCGTCAACTTGGGCTGTTCCGACCTTCTCACATGCCTCTGTCTCCCGTTTAATGTTGTCGCCATGCTAAGTCGTGACGGATGGCCTTTGCCAGGTTGGATCTGCGCAGCCAATTCGGCCGTGACATGGATCTGTCTGGGTGCCAGTGTCATGACGCTGGCCCTCATTGCCTTTAACCGCTGGTACCTGCTGACAAAGTCTAGTATACACTTCCAGAAACTCTACACTACTAGAAACATATGCTTCATGGTGCTTAGCGCTTGGCTGTATCCAGCTCTTTTGGTTCTGGTACCTCCCTTTGCTGGGTTGGGCCGACTGGGATATTCTCACGAGTACAAGGTATGCTCGCAGGATACGTCAATTCCTAACTCAGACTTATATAGCCTCATAGCCGGGGTTTCCATCATCCTCCCTGTGTTCATTGTTGTCGTTTTTATCTACGTTCTGATCTATCTCTTCGTTTCCAGACAAAGTAAAAAGATGAACCAGCTCAAAAAGGCAGAAGCACCCCAAAGGCGTGGCAATGACAATGTCAACTTTAACATTAGCTCATCAGAGGTTCCCTCGAATGAACCGAGCACATCTGAAGAGACAATCACACAAAGCTGTTTAACCTCAAACCTTCACACATCACAAACTACCGAAACAAAGATCACATTAAATGAAGAGGGCAAATTTACAGCAATTGAGAATTTACCAAAAAACACATTCCTTGAAGTTTCTGAGAATGAATCTTCAGGAAGTACCAAAGCTAATCAGAAGCGTCCAAGATTCTTTAAGAAAAATTCGCCTAATAACAAGGCAAAACCACACCTGAACAAGTACAATGTCACGGTTACGAAAAGACTTGCCATAGTGGTGCTAGCCTTCTTCATCTGCCTGCTCCCATTTGGTGTTAGTGTTGTCGTTCCGCCGAGTGATCCGGGCGTCCCTTGGACAGGCCTGATGTTGACCTTCAACAGTTGCGTCAACCCTCTGATTTATGCCAGGACGATGCCAGAGTTCCGCAAGGTGATGCTAGCCATCATTCGCTGTCGCCTAAAGGACATCCCGGAGCTAATCGCAAGCGTCCGTCGCTTCCGTTGATGGAATTGGACCATCCAAGTAGATCCACCGAAAACCTACGAGACAGTTCCATAGTCAGATATTGTCAGCCGCGTGAGCTATAGCCAAAGAATTGAAGAAACAAATAATTCGAGATAGGTAAAAATCTGATATCAATTATACCATGAACAGGACTTTCTCGTCATCACCATGCATGATCCACAAAAATAATACAGCCCTGCATGCATTTATTAAGGAAGGGAAACCAGACCATTCTGAAGCATTTAAAGAAGGAAAGAAAAGGAAGTGTGTGATTAAAAAAACGAAAACGTTTGGGTGCATATTATAGATCACAACAACAACTTTGTAAAAACAAACTTTATAATTATCACAGAGACAGAGTAATGCTTGAAATCGCAGCATAAATGCCTATTAAGAAAGTACTGTTAAGATATTATACCCCTTCAGTAAATACATAGAATTAAATAGAAAATACATAACCACTGATAATAATTGTTAAATAGTTGACGCGACGGAATGACTACCATTTGAGAGGAAAACATTAACACCCCTGATTTAATGAAATTAACGAAAAGAGTGGAATTTACAAAATGTATATCAATGTTTGACTATCTATTATGAACGTAAAATGACAATTTTACGTGCCACTTATACACGGACGGACAGGTGTCTTTTATTTGAGTTTGGTAGTAGTTCTTTTTTAAGTGGTGAAATATAGAAATAGAAAATCATTCAATAGTTAAAGCGTGTTTTGTCGTGATTTTGTTCCCCATCAATGCATTCTTCGGTCATGATATTGTAAGTACAAATAATTTGTTTTATTACAATTAAAGAGCAAATATTTAACCCAGAGGCAAAAAATATTCATTCGGTCTCAAAATTCTCCCCCGTAATGGGTTAACAACAGAGATCAATAATAACACAATTTCCTCGGTATCAAAGTCCTCTACATTTGCGAAGAGGAAAATGAGGTCGGATCGTAGAACATAGCTTAATGTTGAAACACCCGAAACTCAAAGTTGTCAGTAATTCATAGAAACGTCTACATACTAATGGCACAAAGATACTTCTTGTTTAGCGGTTTTAAAAAAACATAATTCAATGCACATTTTTAGAAGAAAAAATCGTTGACAATGTTGTTTAGGTCGTGTTACTTTCTGCCCATTCTACATGTATATGTATGTAAGTAATGGAGCTCTCACACTCTGCCGTGTAGGCCTACCGTCCACCTGCCGGGCTATTAAAAAAACAGCAGAGTCCAGAACGTTGGGTTTTGAGCGAACTTGTCCCCGGCCGCAAAAAAAAATTCATAAAATTAATCTTTTCACCGTTTCGTTGCCATCTTCTGACCGTTCTCACCGGGCGCATACCGGGTGTTGAACGTGCTTCTACCGTCTTCACCGCCCAGATTGACTTTTGTTGAAAATTTTGGCCGTTTCCATACCGGGCCCATACCGGGTCTCGAACGTGTGCACCGGGTTTGTAGCAGCCACCTACCAGTCACTTAGCGTCCCCTCACCGCTCGGAGTGTCCTGTGAGCGAGTCCCCGGACTGCTGACGTCATGACACGACTGCCATAAATACCCCGATTTGAATGGCAACGGTCAGTCCGCTCTCCATTTTTCATCACCGTTCTGTAACGTGTTGTGAGCGTGTTGTGAACGTGTTCATACAGTGTGACCGTTTTCATAACGTATTCATACCGTCCTCATACCGTTCAACACCGTCCTCTTGCCGCTTACTTGCGGCCGGTGCCAGCCGGCCAAAGTTTTGAACATGCCCAAAACTTTCGCCGGGTCCTACCGGGTGTAAATAAGCGCCAACGCCCTATTAACGTGTTGCCCGCTTTGATAACGAACCACCGTGTGCCCTCGCCGTTCTCCACCGTCCGCAGACATTTTCGCGCACGGTGGCACACGGTAGGCCTATACGGCAGAGTGTGAGAGTCACTTTAGGGTTTATGTGTGTATGTGGACTGTGGAGTGTTGTGTATGTATGCATTTATTTGTATGCTAATATTACTGTATTAGTATCATAGTTAATGTTTTAAATATATCATTGCTTTTGGAAATCATTTTCCTTCTCTTTCTGTTGTTGTTAAGAAATTAAAATTATGTTTTGGAGCACTATGACGAAAATAATAATGTACTAAAACTGTTCGAATCTATGATTTGCATTACTTTGTAAAGTCCAGGTTTTTATCATATTACTACTACTTGATTGATAATCAAATGAAAATACAAATGAAAATTAACCTTCAGCTGAAAATGGTCAAAGCATTTGTAATTTTCTACAGAGTCGATAACAGTCAGGTCGAAGTGAAATTTTCCTGCATTATCGTTCGCGTGGTTGAAACTTTTTTTGTACTGGTTTGTACAATTAAAAAAAAACAATTGTCGAGTATGCACTTTGCAATTTATATTCCACTTATCGTTTGAATACGTAATGATAACAGTGGTGGCGTCTTGTAAAGCACTCGTATCTGTCACGATTTGACGCTCCGTGCCCTCAAAAACAATTCAATCTGTGTTTGAATCTCCAATATATTCGAATCTCCATCTTATAGAGAGCCTAAGTGTGACATCATACTGGCCAAGCAATCAAGGTTGCTGGTTCCAAACAATTTAGTGCTAATCAATCGCATGGTGACCATACCAGCGCCAAACATTAAATTTGCCCTGCTCCAGCCCGTTACTTGAGCGATTTCGCGGTGAACCTCATGCACAGGATTTTCTGTTTCAAAGTTACCTGGACGACGAGCAGGCGCGTACGCAGGATTTTTTCAAGGGGGGGGGGGGGGGGGGGGGGGGGGGAGGGGGTTTTAACATTTATAAATCGGGCCAAAAATTTCGCAACGACTCAGCCAGCCGCTGAATAAGCGGGGGGGGGGGGGGGGGGGGGTAAGAGGTCACTTCTTTTTTTTTTTTTTTTTGGTCCCAAAAAAATCGCAACGACTCAGTCGACCGCTGAATAAGCGGGGGGTGGGGGGGGGGGGGTAAGAGGACACTTTTTTTTTTTTTTTTGTATCGAAATTTGAAAATTTGACATTTTGCTCCGTTGGGGGGGGGGGGTAAGGTCAGCTTTTTGAGGTCAGCCAAAAAAAAAAAAAAAAAAAAAAGGGGGGGGGGGGTTTAGGAAAATTTAGGAGGTGGTTTACACACAAAAAAAATACCAAAGGGGGGGTTTAACCCCCCCCCCCCCCCCCCCCCCCCCCCCCCCCCGTGTACGCGCCTGACGACGAGCAAATATGACGTTAGCGTTTCGGTACTCCCATTGATTAAATTCTATTTTTCAAATATTTTCAGTTCTCCCCCCCCCCCCTATAAGAAACATATTAGATTTATAAAACCCCGGTCACACTGACGAGACCGACATCAGATCGAATCCAGACCGAATGGTTCCTGGCCACTCTGCAGGTTTGATGTAATATAATGATTTGCTCAGTCTTTTCTTGGTCTAATGTCAGTCTCGCTGCTGTTTTATTTATTTTATTTTATTCTTATATACAAAACACAAAAATATACATATAAACAATAACAATTTCGATGCAAATACACAAATAAGAATTAAATTAAAATGTTGAATAACCTGCAAATATTATTGGAAAAAGTAAAAGAGATAATAAGAATAAAGCCTAAGAGGTCTTGTGGTGTAAATTCCCTCAAAGAAAAATGTTTGCAAAAATATTTACAATTTTACTTTAAACATGTATCTACCACAACAGAAAATACATAAAACAAGTACAGTATCATTATATAGATTTAAAACATCAAAATAACTACGACTAATATAATGCATTCATATTTAAGGATGAGAAGTTTTTTTAAATGCGGATGTAGTTGAGCAAGTACGAAAGTCATTAGGGATGGTATCGCATGAAACTTAAGGTATATCTAATTCATTCATATCGTTTGGGTATGATCAAACTAGCGGCGTGTAAATAATTATTTACATGATCAAACAGTTTAATACCCCCCTCTCTCTCTCTCTCTCTCTCTATCACTTTATCTCTCTCCCTCTCCTCAGCTAGAACTCCCTCTGTACCTTTATTTCTCCTTCCCTATCTCTTTGATATCACGTGTGTAGGCGTCATGATGCACTGAGTCATTGCTTGTATCTTTCATTTTGTTTATACTATATTTGTTTTTTACATGCTATGTATATGAACATTATATTGAAATGTTCTTCAGCCTGTGCTGCTGGTCATTTCTTATGGACCAATAAATGAATTGATAAATAAATATATAAACAAATACAATTTTCTCTGTCACGTATATTTTTTGAACTGTTCAAACGCATGTGGGCTGGAAGATGGAACCTTGGGTAGTATTTTTTTAATTTATTTTTTCAAATATTTAAGCGCGGATGCCAATTGGCAAAGCATCTTCGTTCTTATTTTCCTCTACCGGTATAATTATTTTTCTTATGTTATAAATGTTTTGTACTCTATATTATGTCAAATAATTATGTCAATGTTTAGTTTTGATGAATGTTATATTTTTTTTAGATATTCCTTGTATTTTTGTATATCGCATACTTGTTATGTCGTTCTAGAGGGCGTACTTAGAAAGCAGTTTTGTTAAACTGAATGTATTTCAAGTTCTGAGAAAGTTTCCGAAGGTAAATCATTTTTAAGTGAAGTAAAAGTAAAGTCGGCTTTAAACTATTAAAGGCCGACGCCTCATACGCCGAACGAAGTTTATTGGATCTGGAATTCTATCGAAACGACACCGTACTATGCACCCCATGACCTCCCGAAAGGACCTCATGGTCCTGGCATAGATGATGGGATTGAGGCAACTATTAAAAACAAGAAGAAGATAATTCCAATGTACGGCAGGTCTACTGGATGGCACTAAAGTCCCAATGCCAAAGGGAAGAATGAAAATGACGTAAACGACGATGATGATGGCTAGTTTCTTGGTGATTCCCACGGTTGTCCTGTTTAACGTCGTTTCTTGGTCTTCGCACCTCACCTGCTTTGGAAACCTTTCCCTCTGGATGACCGGGAGGGTAATGCATGCTTGTTGAACTTGATCCGACTGAGCGTTTGTGCATGGTGGGTCAAGATCTGACGGCAAAATGATTACTGGTGCATTTGTGTTGGCGGATATAGAAGCAACTTCTACAGTCTGATCACTCTGATTCTTGTTTTGTAAATCACATGTAAAGTTATGGGGTGGAATAGTGTGGACTGGCTGATTTGATGCAGAGTCTCGTCGGCTGTGTGTAGCTTGGGTGTTCCTTTCATCAGGAACTACCTCTGACGAAGGATCATCAGACGAAGCAATGGCAGGATGATGAGAAGTTCCTTCATACCCACCGTTTCCGAGAGCCATCTTGTTATGATCTGCAACCTCGATGCCCAACCTGGATTGCATAGTCCATTCGTGTTTCGCTACAAGACGATATATCCTAAAATAAATGACTAGAATTGCTGCGAAAGCTGGTAGGATAATAAGAAGCCCAGCCATCATGCAGAAATAATATACGCGTTCACTTCCAGTGTCCACAGCACATAGTTTATACTCATAGGAGTATCCGAGAGTGATATATCCACTAAAATGAGGCACTACGAGAAGAAGAAACGGGTAGAACCATGTGAATAAAATCATCAGTGCAATGTTCCTTGGGGTGTACAACTTCTGGAACATCTCTTTTGATCTACTCAGTAGGTACCAACGGTTGAAGGCGGTGAAGGCAAGCGTAAGGACACTTGCACCCACGCAGTTCATACTTACTGTCCCAACGAGGGTGCAGATCCAATCCGGCAGATGCCAACCAGTTATACTTAACATAGCTATGGCGTTGAATGGTAGCCATAGGCATGATAGTAAATCGGCGCACGCTAGGTTGCCGAAAAAACAATTGGTGGCATTTCTAAGTTTTCGGGAAAGAGCTATTGCTAAGATTACCAGTGAGTTTCCGATACTCCCTATGATTGATATGGCCACAAAGACCGTACCTATGATGAAACGTTGGGTGTGATTTTCCAGGACGTACAGACGATTATCAATGTGAGGTCCTACATTTGAGCTGTTCTGAAGCGGTGAGAAGGTAGATCGTTCCGACATCCTTTGAATGGCCCGGGACTTCAGTAGGCCGATGATTTTCACCACGTTAAATGTCGAATACCTGGGAAATGCGAAACAATATCAACATTAACAAAAAGTAGGGGATTGGTTATTATTTTCACATACGGTAGAACAAGGTGAGA